CCATTCAGGGTTTCACACTATTATCTGTCATCACAATACATAATTACCACAAAGCAGGGCTTGTTGAGACCTGGACATTTGGCAAGTCACTAACTAAGTCACTGAAATAGTAATAATTGTAATAAGCATCCTCCAAAATAAGTGTAATAAAGTCCACTTTATTATGTCAAGATAAGTGGCAGAATTTGTTCTCCACTTGAAAGAAAACTGAGAACAAACACTGTTTTACTTGCCTGCATTCAATTGATTTCACACTCTCAGTCCTCTGGGTCGTAGAAGATAGACAGCAGGCTAATCAAGAGTATCCCGAAGGTTTCATGTCCAGGACCCCAACAGAAATTGATTCACATTAGAGGATAAAGCCACGGCTGCTGTTATTCAAATGAACACGTTTTAAGATTTTCCCAGGCTGAATTGATTTAATTCAGAATAACACTCTGTTGCCAATTTATTAGATAAATCTAGCTAAAACTAATAATACAACAACACCGCAGGACACATAGCACATTCATACTGTTTCTCAAGCTTTTGGTTGTGAAGTTCTTTATATTTTTATTTTTTATTGACTGTCTCAACACCAAGAATGCTGGGAGAATCTAATCAAATTTTCTATTTTTTTTTTCATTTTTTAAATAGAAAATTGAACTGATAAGCGTTACACATACCTGCTCCCGCATTTCTTTTTAGTGTCAGAGATGAGCCAAAAGCATTACAGTGTCTTTCTTTTTTCAGTTTGAAATGATGGTGTTGAGAAAGCCCATACAGTCACCATTACTCCTGAACTTTGTCTCCATTACTGATGACAGAGGGAACATTTAGGACAACACCATGACTTGCCTGTCAGCTTGTTTCTGGAGATAGTTTGTACTCAGCTGAGAACTGGTGTCTAAGTGTCAACCAGACATCTAAAATATGCTAATATAGATTTTAATATATGTCTTTTAAATTACCCTAAGCCTAATCCTGAAGAGACGTCATTCAGAAGTGATGAGTTGAGAAGATCTTCCCCACTTTTAGAGGTTAGCGTAAAAGTAATAACAATGAAACAGCTGCTATGGTTCCTACAGAACTAAACCTTGCCAATAAAATGGAAATTGCCATACATTATATCCTGCACTAAATATTTTACACGTTTTCACTCAACTGTAATATTCTATATTTATAAGTTTTTGTGTCATATTCAGATTTGTGAGTTTGAGACAGTTTCAAAATAATGTTTTAATTCAGTTGTCTATGTGTAGTGTCGGTCCATCGGAAGGTAAAAGTAAATACAACCTTCAGACCACTGCTTCACATCACAATAACATACCAACTGTTATAGCATAATAACTGTCTGGAAAGTCATCACATCACATATTGAATTATAAGTCAATGCAATAATACCCCATTAAAAGTAAATGTTATGCATTGAATTATACACAAGTAAAAGTATATTATATATATATTATATATAAAGAAAATGATGTTTCCCTTTCAGAAGAAAGTTTCATACAATCAACATGGCAATGTTTGGACAGAGAAGGCCAAGAGATCAAGCCCATATTAAACAGAAATTCTTATATTATTATTGATAAATAGTTTTGTCTTTAAATATGTCACATTATAAATCTGTTTTACAGTTTACAGTGTGGCACTCCCTGTGTGGAATCTACTACAGTTTGTGAATGAATAAAATTTGGTTCTTTGCTGCCATCTAAAAATACTACAGTATCTACAAAGGTAATCCACAAGGGAGAAACCAGACAGACACCCTCTCTTTGTATGTCTATATTTCCCCTAGCCCCTAACCCTAAACCATAACCACAAAATATACATCTTCTAACCTTGTCCCTAAAACACCCGTGTCCTCACTTTGCAAATATGTCCTCACTCTCAGTCTTTATCTCAAATAGTTCCTCCTCATAAAAGACAAGAAGAAGAACGTGCACACACATAAAATTCAGTGCATGAGAAGCTGTTCCTCAGCTAGTTAAATATAAGTGCCCTTGTGCCCTTGTTTCCACCAAGGAGCAGACAAACAAACAGAATCAATTCTACTTGTTTTTTATTGAAACATGGGTAAAACTTCACATGTAAAATCAACATGGTAAACATAAAGATGTTACACAATATGTTACAATATTTTCAGGAATATATTCTTACTCTAGAGGTCCGTCAGAAAAAATGTTTGATTACAGAAAAATAATGTCTCTGCAAGATAATTAACAGCGTACGTCATCAGAGTCTAATTTACAACACGAGACTGTGGTCCTTCATTAGTCTTTGCATTTGTATTGAAAGTAGAGCGCCATTCTTGTAACAGATACTGTAGTCACTACACAGATTACATGTAAATTCTACTGCAACAGGACAAACAAGTCTAATTTCAAATTCTTCATTATATATTTTTATGGTGTGATTTGTTTGAAGGGATGAATAGCAAGGACAAAACACGTGTGACTGAATAAGTACTTAACACTCAGTTGCTGGGGATACAGAGGATGATGAAGGGCTATAATTGCCTCTTTGACCACTGTTAACAAAAGCTTTGGCCAAAACACTGCCATGAGATAATGCAGCTCAAAATGAGCATGGCGGTAACAAGTCACCCTTACTGAATGCGTGCCAAATGAGTTCTTCTTTTAGTGTGACTATTTTAAACCCACTCATTTCTCCGGGCTGTGAGTATCATCTTCCTCGGGGTTGTGTCTCTCTCCGTCCGTGTCCTCTTCGTTCTCTGTCTGGTTGGGTTCAGCTGCTTCCTTGCTCTGAGACGGCCTCAGGAGATATTCCAGCTCCTCTGCGCTGATGGCCACCTTCTCAGGAATCAACCACCTCTTAAAGTGTTCAAGAGCACTGGGGAAGGAGGGGACGTACAAAAGCATGAGAAGATATCTATTTCGAGGTCTTTACTACCAGGGAGATTGGTGTTGTGCATGCAACACAAAATGTGAAGCAAATTACACAAACTAGTAGGTTTAGAGGATATTACAGGAAAAAAACAACAGCCGATGGGAGTTATTCCTGCAACAACTGAAGTTATAAGAATATATAAAAATATTATATGTCAATATCAATGCAGTATGTGTGTGTAACCCCTCCCTCCCAGCCTACCTCTGATCCATTTCACCGCCTTGGAAGAGCTCTGAGGTCTGGGCGTCGTGCAGAAATCTATCCCAGCATTCTTTCTTAGCTTGAGACAACGAGCGCAACATGTCCCTGGAGGTCACATCACTGGACTGGCCCTTTAGTTTCTTCAGGCGGTTCTCTGCACCAAAAAGTAGACAAAAAAATACTATATTTTGCATTTTAAATCAAAATGCTGACATTTCAGGGGCAGTATATATATACACACACACAGTCCATCAAAATGAAACACATCTCTAAATGTACCATGCTTTTTTTTGCCACCATCAAGGTGGTTCAGTCTACATAATGTCATTACAGTTTTATAAAGCCCAAGGTGATTATATCAAATTGCTGATTTTCCCCAAACACCACTGCAAAATATTAAAATATTCAGTTTACGATTGAATGAGTCAAAGACAAACAGCACAATTAAAGAACAAGAAAACAAGGAAATGTCCTGCATTTTTGTTTGAAAAATGACTTAAATCAATTGACTAATCAATGTATATATGTCATAGTTATAACTTATAAATCACTAGAAATACTAGGTACACAAAATAACCATTCGGAGTAAAATAAAAAGATATAATGCATTAGTAATGTGGTCACAGGTTTACCCACAGTATGCTACAGCAGAGGTGGGCCAAGTTTTATGAAATAAAACCTTCAAAGAACAGTATAGGGGACATTTAATGTAGCAGACACCATCTATTTAATGATGATTACACAATTCTCACAAAGTATCTACAGCAGAAAACACATCAGTATCTACACATTTTTATATGAGACTGACTCAAAACCTTTTTGAAATGATAACTGTAAAGTTTAACCAGTGTTTAGTGTAATTTCTATACAAGTTGCATGACACATTTATGGACTCCATGAGGGTGAACCTAACACAACCACAGACACAACTATGATGAAGTTAAGTAAAGTAAAGCACTGCACACTGGAGAAGAGTTGGGTGACATGTTTTCATTTTGATGGACTCTGACACACCATCAGGCCTACAGAGAAATATATGTTGGATATATGTGGCTATAGTCTCCTGGATGGAGGACAAGGTGAGCTAAATGTAACCTGAAAGACCTACAGGCAACAAAGGGTGAGGAAGAGACAGGAAGGACGCTTGTACCTAAGCTGGCTATGTAGATCTCAGAATCCTCCATGGGTTCCCATTCGGCACCAGAGGAACCAGTATTTGTCCCGTTTGACTGTCCATTGACCCGGGTTCCGACCTGTGCTGCTGGCTGGAATGAGTCTTTGAACTCCGGGTTGTTCTCTGGAGCCGCTTCAGCTCGCACCTCCGGCAGACTGGAGCAGATTTCGGACCACAGCTCCCCGCTGGACCGGACCTCCTGTCCCTCGAAGTCGTCAACCATTGTGGTGTACTGAGTTAGAACAGATGTCAACATCAGTTTTAAACACCAGCTAGCGTTAGGCTCATATTGTTGTGGTCTGGTTCTTTCACTAACATCCAGTGTGTTCGTTAGACATTCAGAGACAAAAGAGGGAAACTACGCAATTTTCCCAAAACGAAGAGCAATCAGAACTTCATTTATATAAACACACTTGAGCTAGGATTTGTTTAACCTGTTGTGTTGCCTATCGTTGTGCATTTTAAATGTTCTTCAAGCGGTTTGCCGTCATAATAAATTACAAACGTGTCTTACCTGTGCGAACGTCTCAATAGATAAACTGTTATATTTCTCCAAATGCATGAATGTAAAGATTAAAGATTAGCCTCGCTAGCTAACTGTGTCCATGGTCCACAATCTTTAATGAGAAACAGCCCACTTCCTTATTTAGGGTGATATGATTGGACGCTGTAACCGCCTATCAAACTGCTTCGAGATGATTGGATCTCCGTTGGAAAGGACGCTTCTGATTGGCCAGGCGCTCTGGTTCGCTGAGGCTGGAGCCCGGAAGTATGTGTCAAGCTGGAAGGACGGATCGGTGACGACTGGAGAGCTATAAAGGTAAACAAGCTCTGCTGACCTCCATTAATGACTCTAACCGTGAGCATTGACTATTTGAAGAACTCACAATAGCGTTAACAAATGATCAATAACAGTATGTGTTTAAAATGCAACGTTAACTTGTTATTATGGCTGTAAACTGTGAAGCTGGATCAGTTACAGTCAGTGTGTGTGTGTTACAGTCAGTGTGTGTGTGTTACAGTCAGTGTGTGTGTTTACAGTCAGTGTGTGTGTGTTACAGTCAGTGTGTGTGTTACAGTCAGTGTGTGTGTGTTACAGTCAGTGTGTGTTACAGTCAGTGTGTGTGTGTACAGTCAGTGTGTGTGTGTTACAGTCAGTGTGTGTTACAGTCAGTGTGTGTGTGTTACAGTCAGTGTGTGTTACAGTCAGTGTGTGTGTTACAGTCAGTGTGTGTTACAGTCAGTGTGTGTGTGTTACAGTCAGTGTGTGTGTGTTACAGTCAGTGTGTGTTACAGTCAGTGTGTGTGTTACAGTCAGTGTGTGTTACAGTCAGTGTGTGTGTGTTACAGTCAGTGTGTGTGTGTTACAGTCAGTGTGTGTTACAGTCAGTGTGTGTGTGTTACAGTCAGTGTGTGTGTGTTAGTCAGTGTGTGTGTGAGTCAGTGTGTGTTACAGTCAGTGTGTGTGTGTTACAGTCAGTGTGTGTGTTACAGTCAGTGTGTGTGTGTTACAGTCAGTGTGTTACAGTCAGTGTGTGTTACAGTCAGTGTGTGTGTGTTACAGTCAGTGTGTGTTACAGTCAGTGTGTGTGTGTTACAGTCAGTGTGTGTGTTACAGTCAGTGTGTTACAGTCAGTGTGTGTTACAGTCAGTGTGTGTGTGTTACAGTCAGTGTGTGTTACAGTCACTGTGTGTTACAGTCAGTGTGTGTGTGTTACAGTCAGTGTGTGTTACAGTCAGTGTGTGTTACAGTCAGTGTGTGTGTGTTACAGTCAGTGTGTGTTACAGTCAGTGTGTGTGTTACAGTCAGTGTGTGTTACAGTCAGTGTGTGTTACAGTCAGTGTGTGTGTTACAGTCAGTGTGTGTTGCAGTCAGTGTGTGTTACAGTCAGTGTGTTACAGTCAGTGTGTGTTACAGTCAGTGTGTGTTACAGTCAGTGTGTGTGTTACAGTCAGTGTGTTACAGTCAGTGTGTTACAGTCAGTGTGTGTTACAGTCAGTGTGTGTGTGTTACAGTCAGTGTGTGTGTGTTACAGTCAGTGTGTGTGTTACAGTCAGTGTGTGTGTGTTACAGTCAGTGTGTGTGTTACAGTCAGTGTGTGTGTGTTACAGTCAGTGTGTGTTACAGTCAGTGTGTGTGTGTACAGTCAGTGTGTGTGTGTTACAGTCAGTGTGTGTGTACAGTCAGTGTGTGTGTTACAGTCAGTGTGTGTTACAGTCAGTGTGTGTGTTACAGTCAGTGTGTGTTACAGTCAGTGTGTGTGTGTTACAGTCAGTGTGTGTGTGTTACAGTCAGTGTGTGTTACAGTCAGTGTGTGTGTTACAGTCAGTGTGTGTTACAGTCAGTGTGTGTGTGTTACAGTCAGTGTGTGTGTGTTACAGTCAGTGTGTGTTACAGTCAGTGTGTGTGTGTTACAGTCAGTGTGTGTGTGTAGTCAGTGTGTGTGTGTAGTCAGTGTGTGTTACAGTCAGTGTGTGTGTGTTACAGTCAGTGTGTGTGTTACAGTCAGTGTGTGTGTGTTACAGTCAGTGTGTTACAGTCAGTGTGTGTTACAGTCAGTGTGTGTGTGTTACAGTCAGTGTGTGTTACAGTCAGTGTGTGTGTGTTACAGTCAGTGTGTGTGTGTTACAGTCAGTGTGTTACAGTCAGTGTGTGTTACAGTCAGTGTGTGTGTGTTACAGTCAGTGTGTGTTACAGTCACTGTGTGTTACAGTCAGTGTGTGTGTGTTACAGTCAGTGTGTGTTACAGTCAGTGTGTGTTACAGTCAGTGTGTGTGTGTTACAGTCAGTGTGTGTTACAGTCAGTGTGTGTGTTACAGTCAGTGTGTGTTACAGTCAGTGTGTGTTACAGTCAGTGTGTGTGTTACAGTCAGTGTGTGTTGCAGTCAGTGTGTGTTACAGTCAGTGTGTTACAGTCAGTGTGTGTTACAGTCAGTGTGTGTTACAGTCAGTGTGTGTGTTACAGTCAGTGTGTGTTACAGTCAGTGTGTTACAGTCAGTGTGTGTGTTACAGTCAGTGTGTGTGTTACAGTCAGTGTGTTACAGTCAGTGTGTGTTACAGTCCGTGTGTGTGTTACAGTCAGTGTGTGTTGCAGTCAGTGTGTGTTACAGTCAGTGTGTGTTACAGTCAGTGTGTGTTGCAGTCAGTGTGTGTTGCAGTCAGTGTGTGTTACAGTCCGTGTGTGTGTTACAGTCCGTGTGTGTGTTACAATCCGTGTGTGTGTTACAGTCAGTGTGTGTGTTACAGTCAGTGTGTGTGTTACAGTCAGTGTGTGTTACAGTCAGTGTGTCCCTGCAGGGAGATCCGGTGTAGGAGATGCGAGCAGCGTTGCGCCTGGCAGTAGTGGCAGTCCCTATGGGTGTGCTGCTGTCCCGGACCATGGCGTGGATGTCCAGCGGCAAAACACACCCGGAGCTCATCAGCAGGCTGAGGGGTAATGATGAGCTGATGTCTGATATAGTGAGATATTTGACTGAAAAACCTCCAGCTGCACATTTACAGATATTTTGATATTTTGAGTGTGACAGTTTAATTTTTAATATAATACTGTCAGTGTCAGTGTCTGTATTGATTGAACATTTACATACAGTATTACACACGTATCAGTATGTATGAATATCTACACAGACACACAAGGATTCACAATACATGAACAGAGTCTCTGTACAACAAACAAAATAGTCGAAACAAAAATAAATAAAGGATTGCATTAGGAAGATACACTTTAGTTAAAGTCTGTCGTATTTGGACACTGCAGAGAGCTACTTATATAAAGGAAAACACAGACCTTTATGGGAAAGTGATTAAAAAAAATGTGATTAGTATTGGTATACAACCCAATGCTGTTTCCATTCTCATTTTCTTTGTATTAATTCATTTTCACCTGACATTAAAAGGGAACCACAACTCAATGGAGTTCAGCCTACATACATATTCCGGTTCAGTTCGCTGTCATTGCCTCGTCTTTTCTCCTCCAGATCACGGGGTGATCCGCAGCGACCGAGTGTTTGATGCCATGCTGGCTACAGACAGAGGGATCTACTCTACAGATTATCCTTACGCAGACTCTCCTCAGTCCATAGGTAGGGTTAGGGTTAGGGTTAAGGTCACTCTTCCTGTCAGGTATTTGAGTGAATATGTTGTGTTTGGAAGTAACAGCTCTTTCCTGAGCACAGATTGTGACTCTATGTTATGAAACTTTCTTATCACAGGCTACAGGGCAACCATCAGTGCACCACACATGGTGAGTAACAAACACCAAACTGTTTTCAGATGTGAGCAGATATCTTAAGACGAACTATAATTCAGTGATGTAACATACACGTGATGTTTTCCTTTGGGCCTGGTTTGACAGCATGCTCACGCATTAGAGCTGCTGAGTGACAAACTAACTGAAGGGGCAGCGGCATTAGATGTGGGATCAGGAAGTGGATATCTCACTGCCTGCTTTGCAAGGATGGTAAGTCCTATATAAAATATACATGTTTCTTACTGTACAAATATCATTTAATTAAAGTTTCTCACCTAAGTTGGCATAATATGCAGTATACGACTGAGTGAAATAGCTGCATTTTTCTGTTGATTGTAGACAGGACCCAGCGGTAAAGTGGTTGGCATTGAACACATCGATGAACTGGTTCAAATGTCAATAAAAAATGTGCAAGCTGACGACCCAGAACTGCTCACCTCTGGGCGCATCAAACTTATAGGTGAGTCAGGATGTGTCAAAGTCATGCCTCCTTTCAAATGTAGATGTTGAAACTACACGGCTACAAAAGGCTACACAAGTCATACCTACATCATACATCTGTCCACAGTGGGAGACGGCAGACTCGGCTACCCAGAGGGAGCGCCGTATGATGCCATTCACGTTGGTGCAGCTGCACCTACCGTTCCTAAGTCTGTAAGGAAACATGCAGGATGACTTTTACTCCTGTGAAAGTAGAATATAAAAGGGTATAATAAGATAAATTGTGCATTCATTCAGCTGCATCCATAGTCAACAAACAAGACACAGCAAGTTAAGGTTTAAACATATTGTAGTATATCTACATTAGAAAAGTAAGTCTTAAACAGTCACTAAACATGATCTTCCCAAGTGCTGTAAGCTGTGGGGGAACATTGATATGCAGAGGACACTGACTGAACTGAACTGATCATCTTATATGAAATTCCTGTATTTTCTCCTCTCTTTATTAAAGCTCTTGGAGCAGCTGAAGCCTGGTGGGCGGTTGGTTCTCCCGGTGGGCCCTGACGGTGGCAGTCAGGTGCTAGAACAGTACGATCGGCAGAGTGACGGGACCTTTCTCAAGAGAGCTTTGATGGGAGTGGTTTACGTCCCCCTGACTGATAAGAGGCGTCAGTGGCCTGGGTATTGCACGAAAACACTTATGACTTATCACTTTTAAACCATGTATGTTCTGACCAACACCTGTACGTTATTTTTAAACATCGCCTCCAACAGTCCAGGGTGTTTTATGCAGTCATGAGCCACACGCACCAACATCCTGTAGCTTGTTCCTGATGATATCCATGCTATCCGTCTCTCCCCAGAGGTGAGCTCTGACTGCAGTGTGGTTGCCCCTGCAGGAGGTGGCGTTGGTGCTGCATCTCCGGGGCCCCATAGCACTCCTCGTGGTTTCACTGAGTTCCAGACTTAACGGCCACCTGCCCCGCTGGGTTGTCACCTAGCAACATACAAGGAGGATCTCGCTCTGTTTGCCCGACCAGATTGTCTTCCAAGAGCTCTAAACAGTGAGTAAGTGAATGAGTGACCACCGCTGGACTGATGACCTTACTCCCATAATCCTTGGAGTCAGTTGAAGTGATTCACGGTATTGTTTATGGGTCAGGAAGTTCAGCTATGAGAAAAATGCAATTACAGCTTGATGAGGTGAAGTTTGTGTTCTGGATGTGGGAAATTCCTAAGAACTTGTGTGTATACTCATGGGAATGCTTTGGTTATGAATGCAGTAACAAATGAAGACAAACCCAAATAAAAGCCAAGAAACTTAAATGAAAATACAGCAAGTTAACAAAGTAATATATATTTTGTGGTAAGAACTTCTTATTTGCTTCATATATTGTATATGTTGGATATGCCTGGCTGACATTGTTACAGAGGAGGCATTGTGCCAATAATATTTTGAAACTATACAAATGTTGAATTACGTGTACACTTAAAAGATTTATCAATAAAACCTACAGAAAGAGATACTTGATTGTTTTCCTTTTTTAAAAACTGATTATTAATGCATCAGGGTCAGGAAAAACTACAGGAAGGACAAGGAAGAATTACACTACATTTAATACATTATATAGTTAAACATTCATATAAAAAAACCACAAATGTTATCATTGTCTGCAGAAGGAAACAAATCTGGTTTCATTACATTTGAGAGATCTCTTCAGCCATTATTTCCAAAACTAGGCAGCTCACACCAAAACTATCTAGATAGATAAACAGCACTACAGGTAGGAGAAGAAAATAGACATTTTTGACTTTGGGGTGAACTGCCCCCTTTAAGGCATATCTTCTGACACCTACCACAAACGACTCTCATCCACATGATGAAGCAGCTACTAAACACACACAATGAACAGTTGATGGCGATAATGCCCCGGGAAGTAAGGAGGTGATCTGCACCTAAGGACAAGAAAAAGAAGAAGATATAACGATATATAAATATTTTTATATTTATATGTGTGTCTGTGGTTGAACTACAAATTAGACTGGTTGTGCTGCGTGTGACGTCATCACCGTGCGCCTTAACTCTGACGGACCCCTAGCTAGAAAACAATGCACGTGAGTGTTTCGTTTACAGCTTGTAGGAAATATAATTGGTTTTTCCTCGCAGGTCGGGTTGACAGGCGTGTAAACAGTCACACACATTCTCCCGTTAGTGGGTCTTATTGCCTATATGCTCCACTGAGTCGCCCTTTTCCCGCCTCACAGTGTCAACAGAGGAGCGCGACGATGGAGCAGGCAGCGGCTGAAAGCCCGGCGGAGGTGGACGGAAACCCGGCGGAGGTGGACGGAAACCCGGCGGAGGTGGACAGAAGGCCGGCGGAGGTGGACGGAAACCCGGCCGAAGAGGCGACAGAGACAGCCAAACGCAAAAGCGACGAGCTGGACCAACCCGAAACGAGGGGCCGAGGGAAGAAGCGGAGAGGAGCGGGAGGGAAGAAGCTGCGTCCGGGCGAGAGATACATCCCCCCTCCGCAGAAGCGGAACCCGGGGGTCAGCTTCAACCAGGAGCACTTCAACGAGACTAACTACTACTTTGAAGGTGGTCTGCGCAAAGTGAGGCCGTACTACTTTGACTTTAAAACTTACTGCAAAGGTCGGTGGATTGGGAAGACCCTCCTGGAGGTGTTCAAGAAGGAGTTCAGAGCGGAGTCCATAGAGTATTATCAGAAGGCGGCCAAAGAGGGTCGCATCCGGCTGAACGAGGAACCTGTGGAGGACCTGTCTGTGGTGCTCAGGGTCAGTGTCACCGGTACATGTGTATGCTTATACGCTGAAGTACTCAGCAGTCTGGGTCCAAATCCTAATACTGCTATTTGATGGTTAAAAATGAGTTATTGTTTATTTAATATAACAACTGGTGCTGAATGGTGACGGAGTACGCCAGCAGGTCACAAATTACCATTTAACATTGTGACAAAAGCTATAATTTAAAAACTCTCCACAGAATAACGACCACATGAGGAACACAGTGCACCGCCACGAGCCCCCTGTAGTCGGGAGACCCCTGAAGATCCTGGTGGACGATGGTGAGGTGCTTGTGATCGACAAGCCTGCCTCCATCCCAGTCCACCCCTGCGGCCGCTTCCGCCACAACACGGTGATTTTCATCCTGGGAAAAGAGCTGGGCATCCCTGAGCTCCACACGGTCCACAGACTGGACAAGCTCACCTCAGGAGTGCTGCTGTTCGCCAGGACACTGGAGACCTCCAAGAAACTGGACCAGCTGGTGAGAGACAGACAGGTACGTTCAGGACAGGGTGGATTTTAAGACAGTGGATCCTTTTCACAGCAGCCATTGGTAACACCTGTGTTTACCCTACTATTTTATGTAAAAATGCCGTGCTGTTAAAAAGCTCTTTTTACAAGTCCTTTTGCTGTGTATCATTCTAAAAAAATTTCCTTTTTACTTTGTGCTATCCAACAGCTTGAAAAAGAATATGTGTGTCGAGTAGACGGGGAGTTTCCGGAGGGTGAGGTGATCTGCGAGGAGCCCATCTTGGTTGTTTCCTTTAGAATCGGCCTCTGCCGAGTTGACCCAAAGGGGAAGGAGTGCAGAACCGTCTTTCAGAAGCTGAGCTTTAACGGAAAAACCAGCGTGGTCCGCTGTTTACCCCTGACTGGACGCACACACCAGATCAGGGTCCACCTCCAGTACTTGGGCTTCCCCATCCTCAATGATCCCATCTATGGAGCCTCAGCCTGGGGTCCTCACAGGGGGAAGGGTGGAGTGGTGGGAAAGAGTAATGAGGAGCTGCTGCAGGCTCTGATAGAGGAGCATTGCTCTCAGGAGAGCCTGCACCTGTTGGATATTCCGGATGATGTGATCGGGATTGAACAAGAGGCAGAGAAAAACCAAACATCTAAGAAAGCAGATAAATTAGTTGGCACCGCAGAACCTAACGCAAGTGGAGAAAGTCACCAGACACTGATTGATACACAGGTGCCAACAGGTTGTAGCTCAAGCGGTGAGACGGTGAATAAGGGGAGTCAGGGCGGCACAGACTTAAACACTAACGATACCTCTCCAACCAACGGAAATCAACCAGAAGCAACTGACTCCACTCACAAAACTCCTGCAGGGACCAGAGACCACCTGTGCAGTGAATGTAAGTTAGTACGACCGGATCCTACAGAGAAGGAACTCATCATGTATCTCCACGCTTTACGCTACAAAGGACCTGATTTTGAATATTCCACACCTTTACCTGAGTGGGCCAAAGAAGACTGGGTGGAAGCGGATTAGAGCTGACCTGATGGACACCGTTGATGACATTTAGGTTACTGGCTTCATGAATGTATATATTTAGAAGTACGAGCAGTACTTGAGTCCTTGAGTTTTGAGTTTTGCATTTGTATTGAGTTCTGCAGTAACTTCTCTGTTGGTATATAAAATGCCTCAAAATTAGTTTTATCATAAGCTGTTTCCCCCAGAATATTTTCCTCCAAACTGCCTGAAACCCCAAACAGAAAATTGAATTGTACTCATTCTCATTTTTACTTTTAATACCAAGCATATTGTTTTAATTTCATTTAATCCCTTTAATTAAGCCTGTAATATGTCTGGTACTCCAACCATGATTTGAAAATAAATGAAAAGCCAAAAGTTTGCAGGAAAATAAATGATTTATTTTATTTCATTTTTGTGAAAAATTAACAACATTGACACCTGTACATCGTAATGGTGGTGACCTTTTTAATTTCTGCTGTTCATAGAAAGCCCGTGAAATGTTTAATTTGCTCTAAGGCAGGTTATTCTGCTGAGTGATGTAACATGAAGGCTCATTGAAGAGTTGTGATTATACAGTCAAGATGTCAAAAGCAAACACTTCTTACAAAGAGAAAGCTTAAAAAAACGCTGCTCATAGGCACATTTGTCTCTTCTTCGTCCAGGTCGGAACCACCATCACTACATAGACACATCTCTCATTTTAAGGTTTCAGACACATCCTTTGCACAAAACACACAGTTTCAGCATATGAAACGACCTGTTGAAAGACATTTGGCACATGCTGTTCATGTCATAAATACTATTATTTGAATGTTACTGAGACAAAATCAGCTGACGTGACCTCTCAGCTGTGGGACGGGGTGTAGTTAAAGGCTTTCTGTTCTGTTGGAGTTTGTGTTAACAGTGCTGCAGCAAGGTCTATATACACATTGTGAGCTGTTGAAGCAGTGGCATGAGATGATACAACTACCGCTTTACTTCTTTTCAAAGGCTAAGGCATACGCTGACATCCATAGATCCTGGAATAGTATGCACCTTAATTGACCAACAGTGTATAAACCCGCATGTCGTGTTATATCTTTTAGAAACCCTTTATATCTTTTAGTACATTAAGTAAACATTACATTTTTTGGCACTGACACCGTAATAAACGACATGACTTTTAATTCGACAGTGAAACACTAAATGCAAACAGGCCATGACACTACAAATGACACATTACTTATTTTAGGTTTCTGGTTTTCTACGTCATGGTCACAAAGCACATACTGTACATATTATTGCCACAAACCGTTATGTGACAATGCAGCTTTTTCTCTGTGAACCTCACAGTTGTCTTTTAATATTCCATTAATAAGTCCATTCATTTATATGGCTCATTAAGGTCAATTCCAGCATGAAAAAAGAATCCAGTTACTATAACCCAGTCTGTGCAGGTGTTAAAAAGTTCCAGGCACAAAGTAAACTCTGTAGCACTTGATTGATGATTTTTGTGTTGTCAACACACTGTAGCTATAGTTTCTTCGAAGTGTGACATTGGTGCAAAGTTGTGGCTGAAAGACGAGCTCCTTCCTCCGTCTCCTGTCTGACAATGCTGGGTTCATGCTTTGATATGACCTTTGTCTGTAGAAACACTCATGCTGTGACCTTATTCATTTGTAACATACACTGTAACAACCTTAGCAGCAACATTAGACAAACATGCCGTCACATGTTACATTTGCAGTTGGCTTATATTTCCTTTGAGTGTTATACAAAAGTAACAGTGTATGCTCCTTTTGTAGTCTATATGCTAAGGTCAGTGATTCCTCCTTTATATAAATTCAGAGCAATTAATGCACAGTGTTTGCAAAGATTCCTCCAACCTCGCTCAACACGTATCCTCCCGCTGTCCATCTCTCTTAATCCACACGTCTGGCAGGTCTGGCTTACTGTTGGGTAAGATGACAACTTCTTCGCTCTGACTGGTGCGGCCCTTATTAGTCTCATAAACGGTTTCTTTCAGTGAGAGATGAAGTGTATCTCTCTTGCCGTTAAGATGTCCCGGTTGTAGCTGAGCCTCTTCTTCTTTTCCTTCATTTTGCTGCGTGTTGGAAGGCCCTGGCTCGATGTCACTCAGGCATGTTTCGTTAGAGTCCTCCAGACCCTCGCAGGGGCTCTGAGACTGGGAGGAGATGTGTCCTTTGCTGGAGTGCTGATGGCGATGGAGGCTCTCCTCTGTGGTTTGTTCGTCTTTGCTGAGAGACGGTGGGTCGATGGTCTCCAGCGTGTGGCTGATGATGGTTTCCTCCATGCTGGAGGATGAGGAGAAGGATGAATGGCTCCAGTGCGTCACCCCACCTGACTTACCTCTGCATGTCTTACACAGCAGCTTGTCCGTAGCTACTTCTTCCTGTGCCAGGCCTACAGGCCGCAGGGTGTTTTCTTTGTAAGGAGATGAAGTCTGGAGAGCTGGAGGTGCTTGGCAGATCTTATGTTGATGGCTGCACATCTCCTCACAGTCCCCATCCATGTTACTCCTGCCCACATCTTTCCCACAGTACTCAATCTCATCAGAGAGCACAGAGGGCCGGTTGGACAGCTTACTGGTGCAGGTGCTGTTTTCAAAGCTGTCACTCAGTCGATAGGCCAATGGCTGCAGCTCGAACTGCTCCGGCCCTCGGCCCCCGCCTCCTCCTGATCCAGCCTGTTTTTGTCTCTGCTGACGTTGGTGGTTGGGGTAGAGATAGCCACCTGCCTCTTTGTCATAACTCCTCCTCACTCTAGACCTGCCAAAGGCCCCATTAGCAGCCGAGGCTGACGAGCAACCGGGCTCTACTGCCGAGCAAGAGGCCAGCGTGCCATCAGTGTGATCTGAAAAACACGGCAGTGTGATCTTTCCACAGTTTTTCTGGGGTCCAAAAAAGCAGCACAGGGACTGGAAAAAAAATGTTGCAAATCCGCACGCTACACATTTCACCAAAAACAGGAAAATCCCCAGTTTTCTGAGCAGCAAGGCCGTAGCAGGCAACATGATGATCCCCATGGAGAAAAATGCACCAGAAACTATTGCTACAGGACATCCCATCCTTTTAGTGGCGTGTGCTACTTTCCCAATTTTGTCTGAATGTGGAGCCAAGCTGTAGGATATGCAGTAGTTAGCTACAAAGTCAACAGACAGCCCTGCTGCTGATGATATAAACAGAGCCTCGATGCCGCTCAGCTGCCATTCAAGAAGAACCAGGAGGCCGACGGTGACAAAAACACTGCCGCCTACAGCTGCAGTCCCATATAAGCTCAGTGGAATATTCCAGGTGGTTAAGAGAAGCAAAGCAAACGTGAGAGCTACTGAGAAGCCAGCTACTACCAGAGTCTCTGAACTCAAAGACTGTTGTAGGTCAAAAAGAGACAGATGACTGATGAACCACCCATTCTCCAGCCCCTGTGGTGCTCCTGATATTTCTCTGTTAAACCATGTCAGGATTTCTCTGTAGAAAAGACTGGTTCTGCTGAAGTTGAAGCTGTAGAGGTATGTGGTTTTGAATGCCAACACGAGGGCAGCGACCCTGCCATCTGGCTGGAAGTACAGGCCTCCGCTGTGGGCCAGATGGCCCTCGGCATAGTTCTCCGCCAGCATCATACTGAGGCAGTTCTCAAAAACGCTGGGAGGGTAGGGAAAAGGGATGTCATTACAGCAAAAATGGAGGGAGTCATCACTTTCTGAGCACCGTCTGACAGATACCCAGTGTATTAGCTGCTCCACAAGACATATATTGTCTGTCATAAGATCTTTATCTTCTGGTGACGGAGGGGAATAAAAGCTTTGGTTCTGAACCCGTCCACATAACTCCCTCAACCAAACCTGAGCGTCAGACCGGCTCATGTTAAAGTCTGGGTCAAAAACCAAAGAGCCGTTGCTCTTGGGGTTAAGGTGATCGCCGTTATCAGTTGGCTTTACACCCCAAACAAGCATTAGTGTCACGGGTTTATCCTCTCCATTTCTCTGTCTCTCAAACATAAACATGTGATGATACTCTGCGTCGTATCTTTCAAATGGGTGACTGGAGCGGAAGAGCTGCGTGACTCTGCTGTCTAAGGTAGGTAGCTTCATGCCTGGGTCAATGCAGGACATGTACATGCCCCCAGCGGCGAGCACTGCAAACCAACACACCCAGATGTACCTAAACTTCACCACTCCACAAGGCAGGATTTTCATAAATAATAAGTTGGAAGTGTCTGTGAGACCTCTTTTTAATTCTCTCAGCTTCTGACCGAGAGTGAACAGACATCTCTTACGTGAGCTTGTGTCCCAGAAGCCGCCTGTGTTTTTGGAGCAGCATGGTTTCCATCCTTGTGCCGCTACAGATGCAGAGGATCCCTCTGTGTAGCGCTCACGCAGAATGAAAGAGCACGGCAGCCACACTAACGCCAAGATTGAGCTGATAAATGAGGCAGTTCCGAGATAAACAGAGAAACATCTGATTGCTGTGATGCTACTGAGATAACCAGAGAAAAACGCTGCGCTGGAGGTCAACCCTGACGCTAAAATCAAATAGCCAACTTCCTGCAAAGCTCTGTTTACTCTCTTCTCCAGGGAGGCTGAAGGATTCTGGGAAAGCTGCAGATTCCAGAAATCAGCGAAGATGAAAACCTGATTGGAGCAGCTTCCCAAGAGGATAAGAGCTGCTGAGAGGTTGACCAGTGGGAAGAATGTCAGGCGAAATGCTACTTTGTAGAAGAAATAGGAGGTCAGGAGGGAGCCTGTGATTGCTATTGCAGATAATGTTACGATGAAGAGAGAGTGGAGATAAAGAGCCATAGTGAAAAGAAGAGACACGACCGCTAGGACAGGGTAGACTGAATCTCTCGCCAGGTAATACTTGAACAGCGTCTGCTTGATGCCGAAGTCCATGCCAGTGATAGTCGTATTGTTGTATGTCAGATCTCTGCCTTCAAGACTGTTCATGTACATCTCCATCATGTGCTCTCCTTTGTCGACAGGTAAGAACACAAGGCTGTACTTCAGTGTAGGTATTTGGTATTCAACTGTCTGCGGGCCAAGGAAGTCTTTATCAACCAGGAAGTGCAGGATTTGGAACACCACGCGGGACTGTTTACAGCGGGACGGGACAGAGGAACAGCCGCCATGTTTGGGTCTCTCCACACAGGCTTCCACTAGATGTCCTTCATGATAGTACGGAGCACATTTCCGGAGAAGGTTCAGAGACTCAGACACCTGGTGTGAATGGGAGACAATGGCAAAACTTTGAATCAATACACCTTCAGACACTAAAACGTATTCAGTGCACTCCAGAGTGTATTGTAAGTATTGTACATTACCCACTTTCCCTTACACTGCATCAGCAACATCAACTCAAAGGAAAAGTTTGACAATTTGGGAAACAGTTATTTGCTTTCTGGCAGGAAGGTAAATAAGAATTCCTCTCTCATATCTGTTTGACAATTTAGTGTTTTACAGGGGGTTATGTGGGTTATGAATTGGCACTATACAAATAAAATTTAATTGAATTGACAACCAATGGAAATTGCAGGAAGTCACTGCTCCCAGCCAAGACATAGTCCTGCACATAAATATGTACAAATTAAACCGATTAAAACAGGTTAAATAGTGCGCTTTAGAGGTGTTGGCAAGTTAATTTTATTACTTTTGGACAGCTAGCTGTTTCCCCGTTTCCAGGCTTTGTGCTGTGCTAAGCTAAGCTAACCAGCTGCTGGATGTTATTTAACGGACAGACACAAGAGTGGTATCAATCTTCTCATCCAACTCTTGGCATTAAAGCAAATACGTGTATTTCCATACATGTTGAACAAAACATGTTGAGCAAAACTGAAGTACACTGAAAAGAAGTCCTAGAGACTGCGTGACACTAGTGTAGTTTTTTGTGTGGTAGCTGCACTACAAAAATCTCAATATGACCTCACATATTCTTTATTCTTTATCTTTATTCAGTTATTAGCCTCTAAATGCAAGATAAAAATGTTAAAATAATCTTAACTCAAGCCACTTTTATTTGTTTTTTTATGAGCAAACTCCATTTGCTGATGAAGACTGGGAGATACAGTTGGAGAGAAAGAAAAAGCTCTTCAGTGGACCGTGAGTTAAGATTATTTTCATTGAACTACTATTTCCAAGGTCCAAATTGAACTTTCAAGCTTTGTATTAGATTTTTTTTTTTCTTAAACAACATGCTCCATGGACCGTTTACTCACTGTACAGTACAAGATGACTAACTCAGTGTACCATTCACAAAACCCTACAAAAGTAATTTGTTTGTTTGTTTGTCCCGTACCTGGTGTGAGGTGAGGCTGAGGCAGCAGGAGGCATTGGTGAGAACAGCCAAGTAATTCCCCAGAGACCAGCTCGGACAGCAGCCGCTTCTGGACGTTCCTTCCATCTCCCCCCTCACATGCTGCTGGCACAGGTCCTGGAACTGAGCCTGAGAACGAATCTGTATGAGACAAGGGAAAGATTTTTTGAACACATGCCCAGTTTTGAAATGTACAAAAACTAATTAATTTCAGATGAGGCAGTGCACACAAAGTAGTGTTTTTAATTTCAGCAAAGCATTTAAATGCATTAGAGAGTGAGATTTGATAGAAGATGATGACTAAAGAGATGAAGAATTAAGCAAGCATGAAGAGCAAAGGCGAGATGCAGGGCTGAGTAGATCATAGCGAACCCTGGATTGCTCCATCTCACACATGGCGTGGATGGCCTTCAGACTCCAGAGACTGGCTGAGTTCTCTGATCGAAACACCAACTGAGCCAAACGCTCGCCTGCATGGAGAGAGACAGATGGATTCACCATACAGGAACAAGATGACCAGCAGTGAATCATCACTTTGTTGGAATGGTTAGAAATTGAGAAAAAATAGTTAGTTTTGAGGGTATGAATTTAGGTAAAAACCAGGTTACCAATGAATTCCTTGTGTGTTATATACTGCTGTCTGTGTTGAATAATAAATTGGCTACATAAAATGAAAACCTCAAGGCTTGGAATTGCTAATAAATCCATTTAGAGAGCTTTGTTGGTGAGGCAAACAGAAGTAAAGTATTTGATCTACAAGCATACTATTTCAAAGTAGAGCTTAAAGAACAAAATCTGGGAAAACAGTTCTCTTTGAAGCCACACTAAAAGCTATTATTCACATCTTCTAACTATGTCACTATTTTTTGTGCATTTGCATTTAACTAATAAGTTGTCACTGCTTTCGTTAGTTTGCTCGGAGGGCTAACTATCCTCTAACAGGCTGGAGGGCTTTGCCTTCAGCTCGCAGTATTTACATATTTGTTGAAGTTTCTGCTGAATATGCACGTATCACATTTACATTGTTTCAATAATATATTCTGCTCTGTTGAATATGCTGGAGCCAGCAGTGTTACTTAACTCTACTAACTTTCCTAAATGTGCAATACAAATCTACAGTTAGGATGGTTATTTTGACGTGTTTGAAACATTTAATTATCATCAATGAATTTATGGTTTATTGACAGAGAATGAACTGATCAGCTCTGACCCACCTGGAGCATCACAGAGGAAGGTATCTGGAGATGAATCTCTCGCCAGCATCCTCTTAATGCGAAGCCTGGAGGAGTCCTGGCTGCCACTACCGTCTCCGCTGGCACCACCGCCAAAGCTAGTGATGATAGATACACACACACATGCACTTATTCAACCCCATTAAACACATACATTTTGTTCCAAACATAGAAAATTGATACAACAGTTTAATCATTTAAAACAAGCATTAATTGGAGTCACCTTATGAATCTAAGTCCAATATTTACTATTTTTCAGCTCTGTTTTTGGTCTCCACCATTTCCTGAGGGAGATATTTGCTAAATGCTCCGCCTTGTTCACCAGCTGGTTGCTAACTTTGTCTTTCTGTTAGATAGATAGATAGATAGATAGATAGATAGATAGATAGATAGATAGATAGATAGATAGATAGATAGATAGATAGATAGATAGATAGATAGATAGATAGATAGATAGATAGATAGATAGATAGATAGATAGATAGACTTTATTGATCCCAAGCTGGGAAATTGCAGTGTAGTGTGTTGTGTGGTGCTGCAGCCTGAAACAATGAGCTAAAAGATGCTTAAAAGCTCAGTAGAGCTGAGCGGAATTGCAGAGTCTGGTCGTAATTCTCAGTGGGTCAGTGAGTCACTATGAGTGATGCTTTTCGCATTACGCATAGGTAGTGGTAGAAGAAGGCAGCGTATCAGCTCTGGGTGAAAGTGTGTTATCTGGGGTCCTAATACTGTACATGGTGCAACAGCTACAAACAGGCACATAGAACACCTGGATCCTAATCATGGGTTGGTTGTCTGTTCTGTTCACAGGAGGAATCATACATTCACTGAGTGACTGAGGCTGGCTAGCCTGCTGAGGGTTATACAGTCATGGTGTATATATATGGACCCATGTGAGGAAGAAGCATGTCTGCACTCTTCTGAGCTCTATGTTTGCAGTGGTTAAGTTTGCTATCTGAATATCCAGGAAAAATGAAGGGTGCAGGATGTACAGATGGTGTTGTGGTCATGAAGTGGCTGACTGCTGCTCTCCTGAAGGTTGAACATGTTTACTATCAGACTGTGAATAATCTGGATACTTTCAGAGCGCTGTGGGTGGTTGAAGGAGTTGTGTGCTCTGTTGGAGAGACAGGAGAACTGTTTCTTTCTTTTTGATTTGTAAAATGCTTTATGGTTATTATGCGTTTGTTTTTTGTTTGCTGTCTTTACTCTATTTATGCACATCTGAGTTTGTTTGGTTAGTTTCGAGAGTCCATCAAATTGTTTAATAAAGTTATTCTTAAAGTCAAAGTCATTACAGGAGTTAATTTGATCATCTTAATAAAAAATATTGATTAGAACAGCTGTAATAACATATAATTTATTTTATTAAAATGTTATTGACTCTACATTCTTTTATTTCTGCTTATGTCAATATACTGCTGACCTTTTACTGAGCTGCTGTGGTAAAGGAGACAGAGTTTTTCCTGGGCCAGTATTTTCCCGCAGCTCAGACAAGCTGGACTGGCGAAGTCCGATGTATGTTCCCCGTGGCTCAAAGCCCTGAAGAAAGAGCAGACACACACACACACACACACATTCACACACAAACAGACATCAAAGCTTAAGACAGAGTGTGGACGCTGGTGCCCACACTGCAGCAGCTTACTGAATGAATTAGCATCATAAGTAGTCCATAATGTTGACTGAACTACCATAACAAAAACACTCAGAATGAACTTGTTTGGTAGATGATGAGGTGTTGGATGCTATCTTAAAAGAAGAGCCCCACTCTTCTAAAACCCTTGTGTAACCCTCCTAATGTACATCTTTTTAGATCCATCATTAAAGACGCATTGTTGTGCGTTGTTTCCATTTCAGTGTTTATCCTGAAAGCCTCTCAAAGGTGGGTTGACATATTTAATTAAGATGACAGCAAGTGTGACCTAACTCAATGTGGTTCATTGAACCTGAGATGAGACTCAAGTATACAGATACAGCTGAGATCATGAGTCTTAAGGGAAACATTAATTAACACTCAGCCTGAGGTGCTGATGGATGATTGTATTGTAGACTTGAAATAAGGGTGACAGTGGAGATACAAGAGAGACCGAAGGATTACATTTGAGACACTGTATGCTTTTGTATACATGTGTATAACCGTATGTTTGAGACTCACCAGCAGTGGGTCAGAGAAGTCTGGCAGTGGACCGATGAAGAGTCCAGCCAGTGAGCATCCCAGCAGCAGCACGGCACAACCCACCAACACTGCTAACGGGTAGTCCACTATCAGCTGGGAGTAACTGCCACATAGAAAACCACAGAAGAAGAAGTCGTCAGTGGCACCAAGTTAAAAATAGTCATCATGATCAGCAATACCTCTGGGTTTTAAAGTGAAAATTGGTTTCAGTACTCACTTTCTAAGGATGCAGTAGAGTCCTCCATCCCTGTAAATAATTGAGAACATCATTCTAATTATGATTCACTGATTCCACTTATTTTTGTACAGATTTAACAAGGTTTAGAGGTGTTTGTAGGTGTATTTTTTACTTTTGGATAGAGCCAAGCTAGCTGTTTTCAGTCTTATTGCTAAGCTAAGCTAACCGGCTGCTGACTCCAGCTTTATATTGAATCTACATAAATTAAAGTGGTATCAATCTTTTCATCTCTACGACAGAAACCATACAAACATATTCCCAAAAAGTCCTTAAAACACACCTTACTGTCACCACATGTCGCTGCGTCGGTTTCTGGGTTTCATTTGACCCGTGCAGCCAATGACATCTCACCGCGCCGTGACGAGACGTCTGATGGGCAGAACTGCAACCATGTCCCACTTTTACCATTACACCTCCTTCAGCGGGAGGGCCTGTTGTGTTTGAATGACAGTCGTGGCAGGTGTGTGGTTTGATTGGCCCGTAATGGTTGCATCGGGGACATTTTTGGGGCTCTAGTGAATCGTAGGCCCTGGCTTGAGGACCCTGGGGGACCTAAAGGTGGAACAGACATCGAGGATTCTGGTATCATACAAGTCTTTTGAGTGACACGTATGTATTTTTGCTGCTGGCTCCCAAATCCTGAATCTATTTCTAACATTTTGAGACATTCTGACTCTGTGTTAATGGGTCCCCAAATATCTGTCCTAAACAACACACAGTACAGTCAGCGCTCAGGCATACTTGGTGATAAAGCTGGCAGGAGGAAGAGGGTCTGCCGAGGCTGCTGCAGCTGTCACATAGCCCCCCTTCATCCTGGATGACTGTCAACTGGGCCTCAGTAGCACACTCGCTGTCAGGAGGGCACAGAGACACCGCTGGGATCTCACTGAGGAGAAGAAAAGACAGACAGGAGGAGAGAAAGATGGGTGAGAGGGGGTGAAAATAAAAAGAGATGACAAGAGGAGGAAAATATGGTTGCAAAGAGGAGAAGTGACTGACAGATAAGCAGGAGAGAAAGAAGCAACAAAGCTCTTTTAAACATTAGGTTCAAAAGTTCAGGCAGGGAATGTTTATAAAACTTAGACATAGGAGACATCTCAGTCTCTCGACTGCATTCTTTGCTTGGCTTCACCTCATATTCAACGGAGAATTGAGCAGGCCAGCAGAATTAATGAGGTAAGGAATGGATTTCTGGGTAACACACTGTGGCTACTGAAAGTAAGGAGGCCCAATTAAAAAAGAAAGGAGGAGGGGGGAAGGGGGCCTGAGAGAGAGAGAAGAAAAGAGAGAGTGAGAGACTGTTTTCACATCATGTCACAGACCACATTATTAGAGAGGTAGGTGGCTGTCCAGGATAGATAACATGAGACTGAGTGAGGACTCATGGGTAATGGCAGCAGTCAGGAGAACCCTGGAGTGACGTGTGTAATGATATGATTGTCTCATCTCTGTTTGTAATGTATTCTTTTCTTATTCCTACAGTATCAGCTGCAAGATCACTTCATGAAACTTGGATAAAAATATATACATTTTTTTAGCCACACTAGCGTTATAGCTGTAGGGATGGCAGTGTTGGTCCACTGGTTCAAAAATATAGCTGTTGGATATTGGACCAGGATTTTGGATTTTGTCCAGATATTCGTGGTTCCAAGTAGAGAAATCCTGATGTCTTTAGTATCTCCTGACTTTTTATCTACTGTCAATTTTCAATTTCCAAGATTTGGTTCATGATCAAATACCAGAGAAACTAATGACAGTCCCATCAGCTACTGTGTGTTTAGCTCACCGTAAAGCCCCACAGACCTACTAGCAAGGCTGTAGACTCTAATTCTTGTATTCCACTCCTTTAAGTAACAAATTTCAATAAAGTATTTCTGATTCTGATTCTGATTCTTTTCTACTATATGAACATATTTCAAAACAGATAAATGTTCTGCAAAATTCACCAGTGCAATAAAACCATTAAACCTTTAAACCTGGCACCCGGTTAGCTCATTCGGTAGAGCTGGTGACCCATGTACGGCATTGCTGCAGTGGCCTGGGTCCGAATCTGACCTGCAGCCCTTTGCTGCGTGTCATCCCCTCTCTCTCTGCCCCCCTTTCCTATCTATCTTCAGCTGTCACTATCCAATAAAGGTAATAAAAGGCCAAAAAAATAACTTAAAAAAAGAAACCTTTAAACCTGTGAATGCTGTGCTTCCAAACATTGTTCAAACCTACAGAACTTTATTTAAAGAAAAATGTGAAATGTGAAAAATCACAACGATTTTAGAAGCAAGACATGTAGAATTCTTCCATTTGATGGCATGGTGCAACCATAAAAATATGGGGTATTGGGTTTGAACACATCACACATTATAGCTTCAATAAAGAGCTGGAACAAGCTGATGCAGCATATACTGTGAAATATTGTCAGACAGGGTAGAAAAAGAAGATTTTTCCAATCTTAAGTCTAAAGGGGAAGACTGAATGGTTAAATCTGATCACAGTCTTGCTTTTCAGTCAGATAGGATCATTTATTTAGCTTTATTTAAAAAGTGTTGCTCAAGTGCTCCAATACTCTAGTTGTATCTCAGTAAAGGGGCCACAAGGTCTGTATAGTCTACCACATGCTTGTTTTTCCACAGAAGACTGGATGCAACCGCACTTCCTCTCTTGTCACCATGGTGACAGAGTAAGTCAACAGAGCCTAAATGACCTCACACAGTTTTATTTGCATCCCATAATAAGGCGCACAGATGATGAGTCTTCTGTTGAATTGGTGTTATACAGTAGCAGAAGGATTATGGAGCTGATTAATGGAGCTCAGTGACAAACTGAACCTCAGTATTTTGTGTTCATATTACAATAAAACTGTAATATGATCTAAATAATAAATAGCTCACAGTGTACTCAGCAGCTCTTTGTCGCATAGCAAATGTTTGTCATCTAGTTTAGCCTATTTAGAGGCTAGAGAGAGTGAGTACACTCAGAAAATCTGGAAGTCAACACTGTTTCTATTGCTGTGGCATATATGCTATGCGTAACCTGTGCCTGGCAGTGTCCTCACTACAGGGTTCGGGATAATTATTAGTAGTTAAGCCTAGTACTCCTCTTTGCTGGTTTTTCACAGGGCACACACACACACACACGCACATTTCAAACTCATTAATATTTTAGTGGATGAATACAAAAATACATCCAGGGAGGTGTCACTGAGCTGCTCCCCACACCGAGAGAATAAAAGGACGTTTGCATTGTGCACTGTGACTGATGTCAGAATGACATCATAAATCTGAGAAACATCGAAACAGCAAAGTGTATAAGACGAAACAAAAGTTGCTCTCATTTCATTTTACGTAGTTGTCAGATTGTTAGGTACACTTAACTAAAACAATGCAGCCCAATACAACAGTAAGACATATCAATGAGGGTAAATATTAAAAACACCTTGCAGTATAAAGCATTATAATTCAACAGCACCACCAACTACAGCCTCCAAAATGACTTTAAGTTCAAGCAACTCCTCTCTGAAACTGTTCATATAAACACTGAACATTTCCACCTTCATAAAGGGTAAGATCTATTCCTGGGCTATTGTATCAGACTGGTTTAGCTTTAGCTACGTAGACCTAATAACAATGACTGAGTGGATGAAGTATTCAGATCCTTTACCACATTGTAAAAATACTTAGGTATGGTAGGGAAACACTTCATTACAGCTTCAGTTGCTTCCTCGACAGCTGGGAAACAAACACAGTTGGATGAATAAAGATACGACAGGGAAATGTGCCATAAAAGACAGCATGCAAACAGAGCAGAGTAATGTGTTTCTGTGAAAGTAAGGTAGGTAAGGGTAGGTAAAATCCTGCCTTGAAAATATTACTAAAGTAAAGACATGCAATTGTTATCAGATTATAAATGTTCTTGAACTGTAAAAAGTAAAAAATGACTAATGCAGACAAAATGGCCACTATGGGTGTTACACAACTCTATATTATATTATTAAATCATTACTGATTAATACTGATGCATTAATTGCATTTTGCTGTTGTAGTCGGTCAAGCCGCAGCAAATTTGAACAATTTTACACACAGTGTGTCATATTTTTTCCTCCTTCATTATGTAATTGAAGTTGTAGTTGGACTAATTTTATTCCAATCTTCCTGTGGTCCAAACTAACTGTTAAGTTAATTAAAACTAAGTAATGTGAGCACTTATCTAAGCTGTAAGAACAGAACAAGACAGCTTTAAGGCATTCAGAAGACTCCAGCCGGGAGAATCACAAAATAACCAACAGGCTATAAAGACTATCAGCTCTACTACTCTCTCCTCTGTCTGTCTCCCTGCCAGTCAGTGTCATGTCCTTAAAAATCTCCTAAACCAATCACCCCCCCCCCCCACACACACACACACACACACACACACACACACACATACACACACACACACACACACAAAAAGGACAAAAGCTCAGGCTGTATGCAGGAGGCAAACTGTTAACCTTCCTAAAAAAAAAGAAAAGCTGGTTTCTGTGAGGGTGATATGAAGAGGAAAAAAGACTTGAGGGCCTTCATATAGGAAAAGAAACCAAGAGAGGCAAAAATGTGGCCTGTTGCTGAGCGAAAGCATGGCAGGCCTCAGCTGTTTCCAGCCCGCCTGTCATGCTGGAAGCCCCTTGGCCATTTTTATATGCAGCAGAGTGAGTGACAGGGTGACATCAGTGACCCAGAGAGCCAGTCTGACTAAAGCTGGATGTTGATGACACTGAACAGATCTTACAGAAGTCAACTAGTGTAACTGTGTGAGTATGTGTGTTGTTTGTGTTGCTACTGCGTAGGGTATATATGTCAAAGGCAAAAACATAAAAGCTTGTTTATGTGATGAAATCAAAGAAGGCACCAGTGATTGTTTATCACCTTGTTAAAATACTGATGTACAGTGTGATGCCATAGAATTAAGTAATGTTTGACCTGAACATGTTGTCATTACCAAACATACAATCTCAAAAGTAAGTTGACCAAAGCACATGACCATCTCTTGGTCTCACCAGCAGCGCTTGCTGTAAATAATGTTGAAATGACAGTTATAACAGTGTGATGGAAAAATAACCGCCGCAAGAAATCATACATCCAGTACAGAATCCTATTGTCCACAAGCATAAACACAGCTGGATTGAACAATACTCACACTGACCACAGGAGGGTAAAGACACATTCACGTCTACTACTGTAAATCTCTTTTTTTTTTTCCTACACTAATCAAGTTACACACTAAGCACCAGAGAATCCATCTACTAAAAAAAACAACCCACCTCTGGCAAGCCTGCTGAATTTCCCTTTCATCTGTAGGAGAATCATCCATCATTATCGCATCCGTGCTTTCTCCTATTATCGAGCAAGCATCCATCTCCCTCCTGATTCCGCTCAGAGCTGAATTTTTGAAAGAAGGCAATTATGAATTTCCTGTTATTTTTGAATTGGGGTTTAACCAAACAGCCTCCATCCGTCCGGTCTGAGTCCACGAGGATCAGAGGCACGGGCTTGTTTCTGAGGCTGCTACTACAGAGCAGCACCGGGGCTGTTGGGGTTAATCTGCCCCGAGCTGCTCGCTGATTGGCGGAGCCGCGGTGATGCTGAGGACGCTGCTTGGTCGCTGTCCAACCGGCCGCGGTGCTGGAGCACAAAGTGACGGGTAGTATGCATCAGTGTCGGCTTAATTGGCTCGGACAGGAGTTAAAGCTGCTGTTTCATCTACGTTATGAAGGTGCGCAGGCGCTGACGATGTGTTCAATTAAACAATCACTTAATTGGGACCTCCAGCTGCTGATCACCGAGGTGTTCAGTACTGCGAATGCGCCATATATTACTCCTGCCAGGGAGGGTGAGGTGAAGTCTGGTAAATGCTATTATCCCCAATTTCCTTTATTTAAATCTGTACCAATCAATAAGGAGGAGAGAGAGATCATTAATACTAATATTGAATAATTGAATTGAACAAAAGTGCGAGACATACATACACAATAGTGTCTTTATTTAAAGCCCCCCTTCTGTTTCCCTCGACTGTTTCTTCTCTTCCCACAGTTGGATGTTTGAGCTTCACTGTGCAGAATGATGTACGTGCAGAGTTTGGTCCTGGTCCAGTTTGTAACTTATACAAGTGTGATGTAGAAACCTGAAGCCACCAGTGCACAAACACTGAGAATGGACTTTACAGAAGTAGGAGCAGGAAAACCTGCTGGATACAACAATGAAATGGAAATGGATAACATATTCATAGCTATTTTTAATGATGTAGATGGAATAGATGCCTTTTTATAGATTTAATGTGGATATATATACATGTCTGGAGGGGATCTATACGCTTTTATAAGACATAGTATAAGCTGTAGGTGACAAATGCATACGTATTAGAATTAGGGCCTAAAAGTAGCCTAAGCTGCTTCCTTAATGTTTCTGTTGCATTACAGTAATAAATATTTAAACGTTTCAGTGCAGTGCTGCTAATTTAACTACTTACATATCTGATAGCTAAGACACCATTTATAAATGTATACATTTACTATTTGTGACTGGTGGCTTTGATAATGATTAATTAATCATTTACTAATCCTTTATAGATCAGTTATAAGCCATTAATAAGAACAACTTTAGTGTTGCCAGTTGTGGAAATATCTCTTTGAGTAGCTGAACTGTTTGATCATTAGCATTTATTAATGGATTAATATGGATTATTACGGTATTATTATTACCAAAATGAAAAAGGATTTTTCACAAACCCACCAGTTGTTCTCACAAATGTTTATAGCTGATCTGTAAAGAATTAGCAAATAATGTATTAATCACTCATAAAACAAGCAGTTACAACTTATAAACCCTTTATAAAGGGTGCCTTATTAGGAAGTAGTACTGCATGGTCCAGTAATTCATCACATTACTATTATCTTGTGTTTTCCATGCAAAATTCTTGCCTGCCAATAAGCCAATACAGTCAAAACATAGTGAAGTATGCACAATGTTTCCGTCTGAAATGTTGTGGAGCACAATTACAAAGGAAATCTTTAAGTAGTATCTCAAAATCCTCTTTAGTGAATGTACTTTGTTACTTTCCTCTAAAGAGACAAAGAGACTCAGAGAAAGGATTTTCAAGCTTTGTGCTGGTTAAGATAGGATTGTGCAAAAAGAAAGATCAAATGGGGGTTCATTTTTTATTCTAAATATATAGTTTTTAAAGTATTTCATCAGTTTGATATTGATCGTTAGCTTTACTGTTTCCCAAGAAATATCTGGATTAAATTGGGTTTTGGGTGGGTTTGGGAAAGTTGTTCTAGCTTTCATATAATGAAGCAAAGAAGTGAGAAGAAGAAAAAAGGCAGAAAAGAAAACAGAATAGGACTTTGGGCCACTTATTAAGAGACCGGCTCTAAAGAAAGGCGAAACTGTGACACAGCAGACCTGTGTGACTTGCTGCTAATGAGGCGGCCGCTGGTCTGGCTCCGGTTATAAATATGAATCATGGTGCAGGGCCTTTGTGTCTGAGGGGCCACCTTGAAAAAAAAAAAAAAAAAAGAAATGATTTATTGGAAGAAAGGCAAAGATCGGGGAAAAGGAGGGTGTAAGAAAGTTTTGTGGGAGAGATAAAAGTCTTTCATGGCTTTAAATGAGAAGCAGAGACAGTGGGGGGGGGGATATCTTTCCTTTCATCTCAATAATGAAGCCTAGTTTATATCTACTGGTGCTTCAGTGAGTCATGATGTTCAAAACTGATTCATACACAGTAAAATGGGTTGATTAAGCGTCTCACCCGACTGATCCAGAGCTGTTACATGCTTTATCCTTTATGCTCAAAGGATGCAGTTGAAAGCTCCGACAGCTAGTAAGTGGACCTTTGAGCTTAGACTTTCTTTACAATCTTCATGCTCAAGTGTTTATGTGCAATATTGTCGTCAGACTCAACAAAGGCCTGCTATGTTGGCGGTTGGCATGGAGCTTTCTGAACAGCCTGTGCTGCAGCTGACATGGCTAATGCCTTGCTGACTTCAGACACTGATTAACTTACACTGCTCAGCCTGCTACACACACACACACACACACACACACACGCACACACACGCACGCACACAAACACACAACACCCAAATACACACGTACCCAAAGCCGACAGGCACGTACTGGATACCAGACACACATATAATGAGAGGCTGAGGAGAGGGGGTTTGGCTTCTGGCTGGTACAGAGGTGACAGCCATAGTAATTTCCTGTGGCAGATCTCTGTGTAGTGAGTAGTGATGCGAAGGGAAACACTTCATTACAGCTTCAGTTGCTGCCTCACGAGCTGTGAAACAAACACAGTTGGATAAATAAAGCTACATCAGGGCAATACGCCATAAAAGATTGTGTGGAAACAAAGAGCAGAGTAATGTGTTTCTGTGCAATGTTTCTGAACAGTAATAAATAATTTTCTGGAAAGGATTGTCCATGAGTGAAGAGAAAAGGGTGTTTTGCTGCCACCTGTTGGTCAGATTGTGCAGGTGACAGCAGTCCATCTGTCTCTCTATAATACTGTAAAACGCACAGGAGCATGCAAACTGTCATTATATTTATGTTGAACAACATTTTAACACAATCTTTAGCAGATATTTTGAAATACATTAATGAGCATAATAATTAAAATTACTTTAAGGTTATTTTTATAATCAAACTTTATAATCAAAGTTCAAATGTAAAGATTTAGATTATTTTTCCTTCTTTGTGTGTCTGTGTTAATTGGAATGTAATTTATTATTCGCCCACTGAATGAATTTCTGTGACCACAGCCGTCTGATTGCGGTTGTAAAATCAGCTGCGGAGAGCGCTTTGACACGCGGATTGAGTGACAACATGAGGTCGAGCTCTCCTGCGAAGTTGTTCAACGGGTGTAAAGTTACGAGCGGACAGGACACACCTCTAGAGGGAGTTCCCGGGGAGGTGGAAACAAGGAGCTGATCACATCTCCGGCAGAAAAGTCGGGAGCCCTTTCACTTGGAGCGAGCGGTCGTCAGGTCCGAGCCTGAGGCCGTGCGTCTTTTTCAAACAGCAGTAGCCGTGCCAGGAGAGGAAAATGCCCGGGATGGGCAACTCTTTACGCGCGGCTGCCCTCCTGGCTTTCGTGGTTCTTTCTATCTTGGTGTCACTCTTGATTAGCAGCGTGCAGCAGTTCGGAGCTAGAATATCTCACTTTTCCAACGCAACTCTTGCTGATGATGAGGGGGAGTCTGCGTCGCTCCGCGGGGCGTTGATCCACCAGCTGAACGAGAGGCGCAAAGAAATCATTCCGCTACTTTTACCACATGATGATGATGCTGATGAAAACGGACTGTCCGGGGAGAGCCGACATTCTTCCCAAAATGATCAAGCGCTAGACTCGACTTTGGATTACGGTCTGTGGAATGAGATCACGCATGGCTCCAGGAAAGCGCATATGGATGAAATGGGCTGTGATTCTCTGGTGGACATGCAGGCGGTGGAGATCCTCGGGTCTGGATACACCAAACTGGTTGTCAAAGTGAATCTCGCCGGAGGTCAGCCCGTGGCGTTAAAACTCGTCAACGAGCAGGGCATAGACATGGGGAAGTGTGTGGAGGATTTTAAAGATCCTCAAGGCTGCCGTGAACTCGTTTCTTATAAACTGAAGAAGGAAATAGTCCTGTTGCAGAGGCTGCAGCATCCAAACGTCATTAAGGTAAAGTGCTCCCTCTGCCTGCCTTGTGTGCATACATCTACAGACTTTTTCTAAAGTTTTTATACAGAAAGAATTAAGATTCAGGTACAAATGTCTTTATCATCCATTACATACAATATATTTTATTGCGATGTTAAATAATATAGGCCATTAGAAGCTCACTTTTGAAGAGTGGAACTACTGCTGGAATATTAATATTAAGATTTTCCATAATACAAGTACCACTGCTCAGATTTTCCTTTGTCTGGCACACACTGAGCTGGATGAAAGGCCTCACTGGCTGTGCAGGACCTTCCCATGTAATTAAATTAAATTCACTGACCCTCTTCTGACCTTTTGGGTCCAGTTTGGCAGGAGCAGACAATGTGCCTCTGTCCTCTCTACTATCCCTGGTTGCATCTGAAACCCCCAGCGCTTATTCACTCAAACCATTATGGCCCAATTTAGAACTAGTTTTGAACCAAACGGACGACTTTCTTACAGCAGTCGTGTGACGGAAGTGTGTGTCCAACAGCTCGAATGATTAATTTCACAAGTGTACACAGCACATTCCCTTGTCAAAGTCACAAGTCTGAGCTGCATAGAGCATGGTTGGCAGAACATCATGTCCTCTTAATTTCCCCCTATGTTCAGACACTTTTAGCCTTTCACTTGTTTCTGTAGAGTTAAAACACCATTTGCTCTAATTTACTGTTGACTAACCACAGTTATTCTCCCCTCCACAGCTCAAAGGTCACTGTGCAGGAGATGCGGGAGGAAGAGGAGTAGAGGGGGGGAGAGTCACAGTCATTCTGGAGCAGGGGAATCCTCTCCAGATGATCCAGCTGCTCCAGAGTCCCTGGGAGGACAGATTCAGGGTAAAGCACATTATTTCCCACTTCCAGCTGTCGATACGCATGCTCATGTCATTTAACTCTTTA